GACCAAATCATTATAGATTATGCAAGAGTTGAATTAGTTTAGTAATAAACTTGTCAAATTCTGAATTACAGTAGATTAAGATAATTTTAAATTTGAAGTCATATTTAAAGAAAAGATTTACTGTAATAGCATATTCTGTAAAAAATAAAATTTTGTAAATATGGCATTTAATGAACTTATAAATCATAATAGCAGTATTAGCTTTAGGATTATTTATACAAAACTAGAGATAAATAAAGTATTTGGATTTTTAAAGTTTAGATATAGAATATTTGCAGCTATTTTAGTTTCTATAATATTAATAATTTTGAGATTATTGAAAAAACAGAAGTCTTTTCAGATTTGTTGTTTTAAATCTTTATTAAAATTTTATATATTATATATGCAGATTGATAAATTAAGTAGTTTGAAGTTTGTTTGTAATAGATTATTATAGGTAAAAAGAAACAAACTATTTAGATATAATAATATAGAAAAAACTAATATATTAGAGAAGAAGCTTAATAGTATATAACCTGAAAAGTTTATTGCAAAGAGTCATAATAGTAAAAAAAATATTTAGACAAAAGTTTGGGTTCATAAAAAAGATAAAAATAGCTTTACTTATATTATATTTAAAAAATATTAAACCTAATTTTTTATAATAGTTGTTAACAAAAATAAATTAAGAAATATATAAATAAAATATAAATATATATTGTGATGTTAAAAGAAAAAGTAATTTGTAATATTGAAGAAACTTATTGTAGCAGGAATTAAGATAATAATAATTAATTTGTTTTAGTTAAAAGATAGTAGAGTTTATATAAAGTTCAATATTATGTTGGATAACAATTTTACTAATTAGATAATGTTAAAAAACTATAAAATCATTAGATATAGTTTAAAAGTAATGCCTAGTTTATATTTCTCAAAAGAGTTAAATAAGATGGTATTTAAGAAAAGTAAATTATCTTTTGTAAAGTCACTATATGTTTAACTTGCATAGCTGCAAAAGATTTTATAACTTGTTCTGTGCATTGGATCTGATTATTATTAATCTAGTTCTCTGTGTAAATAGACTTAATTACCTATCTATTTATATTATTCTCTTCTAGAAATAGGCTATGTTCAATAAAAAACATCATAATTTCAGAAGTAGTAACCATATTTATGAGTTCTACAGAAGATTATATTAAAAAGAATTGTAAGAATAAGTAGCTAAAAAAGTATCTTAACTAAGAGTTTTAGTATAGAATAGGCTTTCTTTAGTTTTAGTTTTGATTTTAAAGAGTTTTAGATTAAAAAAAAGATCATTTTTGAATTTTTTAAGAAAATAAAATTTAATTTTAAATTTGTATTAAAGTAGTTTCTAAGCTTATAGATAAATTATAATTCTGTATTTTTAAGAATTTTTAATATTAAAATAAGTAGTTATTTAAAAATATAAAAAGAGATAATTACTTTAGCAAAAAAAATAAGTATTAACTGTCTTTGTTGTAATTTTGATTACTAGTAAATATAAATTAAATAGAATTAAACTATATTTGTAGAAGAATTAAGAAGATTTACATAGTCAGAATCAAAAGATTAAAGTATAAAGTATTGACAATAATCAAAACAAATAAATACAAAGATAAAAACATATTCTGATCAACTAATAAATAATAACAAACTAGAAGAATAATAAAAGATAATAAAGACTATAAAAAAAGAAATTATTAGAGCTAATATATAGAAAAACTATCAGAACTTTTAAAAGCATATTAGAAGTACTATTACTGCAATATTAAAGAAGTAAAAAAGCAAAGTCAGATTATATTTCATCAAACAGAAACAGTAATCAAAGAAGAACTACAATAATTATTTTTACAACTAAAGAGAAAATAAATGTAACTTAAACTAAACTAATTAGATAAAATAATTTTTAAGTATATTGAATAATAAAAAAAAAATTCTAAGAAACAATAATTGAAAAGACTAAAAAAGAAATAAAAATAAAGAAAAAACTAACTTAAATATAATAATACATAATATTAATAATTTTAAAAGAAATAAGAAATGTGGTGACCTAGTAAAGTAGATAGGTTGTTAACTCCCAAATGGCAGATCTAGAGTTCAAATCTCAGTGATGGTAAAAATTTGCAATTCTTTCTGTATTATAGTTAACTGTTTTCTATGATTGTTAAAATTAGATATCTGTAATTCATATTATACTAGTATAACTAAAAGGTCTAGGCACTTATATAACATTATATGAAGAAACACAAACCAGTACCAGGTAATGTGAATCCAAGATAAGTCCTTAGGTTGTATAAATTATGAAAACCAAATAGGCCTATTTGGAAGACCAGAATAAAAAGATAATCCAAACTTTCAATAATGCTACTGTAAAGACTAAACCTATGAAATAGAGCTAGAACTTGTAAAACTAGGCAAATGTGTTGATCTTTGAGGTAAGACTTGATGAACCAACCAGGTTGCCAGAATTTCTGAATTTCAGAGAAAAAGGATATATGCTGGCAAATATGTAAACTAGAAGTATAGTTATGGCCTACCTTTTTAGGTTATCTGAAATGATAGCTTGATAAAACTTAAATTGAATATCAAAATAATAGAAATATATTGTGAAGTTAGTATTAGGGTTGAAGTAAACTCTATAAGAACATAGTAGTTTAATAATACACTCTAACCACCAGTGTTGGTCTTGACTATAGCAATACTGAGTCAGCTGTAAGAATAGAATACAAAAGATTCTAGAAGGTTTAGTACAAGATCAAAAGTTCTAAAAAACTGTTTGAACTGCTTTAAAGACTTAGTAGTCATGACATATTTTATCAACATTAGTCAAGATTGTTGGTAGGCAGAGGTAGGTGGGTAGATATAGAAACTAAAGTGGTTAAATAAGAAACCTACAAGCAGGTTCCAGGTATGGCAGCTAGTGTAGAATCTTTGGGTAGACTACTTAAATTAGACAATAACTAAAGTTGTATGAGTGACTAGTTGTACACTTATTCTGTAGTTGTAATGCAACCATTAGCCAAATATACTATCAATAAAATTCTGGGTTACAAGTACTTACCTTAATATTTAAAAAAAAATAAAATAAAATAAAAAAAATAAATAATTAAAAAATAGAATCATTATATAAATAGTTAATCAACAATAAAATAAATATAATTAGTTTAGTAAAAACAAATATTTTTAAGCAAAGAAAGAATTTTATTACAAGAAATATAAAAGTTTTTGAGCAAATTTGAATCTAGAAAAAAAAAAGATCTCAGATATTGGTATACTTATCAATAAACCTTAGAAAAAACATCTTAAAGGAACATGACTACTTAAAAAAAAATAATATTAAATTCAATAGGATCATTTAAATTTGTTATATATATTTTTTTATAACAATAATAATTTGTTTTTTATCTAATAATAATAAATTTTTTTCTAATGCAGAAAAATTTTTTCATCAATTTTAATTATCATGTCATATAAATATATAACAATATAAATAAGTATAAAGTTGCTTATATAATAGCACAATTGCATAATTTTTATTTATCACATCAGACAGTAATACATTTCAAATCACATAATCTGAACTCTTTATTTCATGATATAAATCATTGCACACCTAATATTTTATACTTAGAAAAACTTTATTTACACTTAGATATAAACAAATGAATTTATATTTTTGAATATTTTAAAACTTATAATTATCAAACAAATTTATAATGTCAATTATATTAGAACTTTTGTCAAATTAATTTATATTGTTGATTACATTAGAACTTTTAATTGTCAGATAAATTTATATTGTTAGTTACTTTAGTACTTATAATTGTCAAATAAATTCGAATAATTTAATGAATAATTCTGTTATATCCAATTAGTGATGGGACCTCTCAAATTATTAATAATTAATAATTAATTATTAACATTTGGCCGAGTTATTAACTAAAAACTACTTAATAATGTATGGCTTAGTGAATTGATTTAAAACTATATAAAAACATTATAATAACAAAAAGTCAATTTATCTACGTGTTGAAAAGCCTGATTTCATTACGATTTTTTTGCATACAATTGTTTAATATGCAGTTTTTAATGTGATCGCATAGGAATTATTAACAATGACCGAACTTATTAATTATTACTAACTATTAATAATTAGTTATTAATTTTTTTATTATTAACTAAAAACTCGAAGGTCCCATCACTAAAGCCAATTATCCCTCAAATATTGAATATCCAATAAATAAAATAGACAGATAAATAGTTAAGGGATCGAAACATTTAAAATTGCAAAAAAAAACCATTTATTATTAAGCGGTATATATCCAAAATATTTTACTAATCGTTAGTATAAAAAAAGCTGCATAATAATTGTTATAAAAATCAATTGGACCAAAAAACATATGCTTAATAAATCCAAACTTATCAATACAATATACGATCTATAAATCAAAACCTATTAACTCAACACGCTACGATAAAAAAGCATATTTAAGTATTAAACTCGGACTTTTAACTATAATCATTATTCCTTTTCAAATTACATAGCCAGTAATAAAAGTTTTAAACCTAATGCAGTAAGGTAGTAAGTAAAGTTTTCAGTTTGCGATTATCTTCTAAAGATATAAAGAAATTCTGTAACGTTAGCACTTGTGATATCCAATTAAAATAAACTTCAGTCATACTAGCTGCAGTAGTTTAAAAAATGACCCTAAATATTTTTCATCGAATCTAGTTAGGTAATCATTGAGAACTCTGTTTAAAGCTAAAAAAAGAAATTTACTTATTTTTTGTTCTAAAAATTTATAGAATTTAGTTGATTTAAAAAACTCAGTATTCACTTTCTAGCCGGCTCTACTTCCGATGTATTCCGGCCAAAATTTTAGGGATCCTCCCTATTAGTTATGCCACCCTTTTTTGGTCTGATCACTATTTAATTTCACAACTAGCGTTTATCATTATAATTGTAACCACTTTAATTTTTAATTTTGTAAAGAGAATTTATGGATCTTCTAAACAGGTATAAATATTATTATATCGGATTTTGAGTCTATATAAAAAAATTCAAACCCAATTTTTTTAATAGACAACCGCAATATCTCGGCGTTACGCAACCTGCTTCTTTAAGTTACCCAAATCCTAGAGAAATCGGTATCTCGGATTTATTAATTCAGGAACTTTTAATACAAGGAACGTTCGAGAGTGAAGAAGAGACAAGACGACGGTATGGCAAAAGATAAATATTAATTTCTTATTTAAAAAAGCTAAAATATGTTTAAATATATATATAGCGAAATAATTATAGATAAATTCGATAGACTTGTAAAAGAGCTTATTTACAATATAAGTCGGGAGAAAATGTTTTCAGAAGTCGATGCTAAAGAAGCTGAGGGGAAAGTTTTTACTTTCGGCTCATACAGACTGGGGGTTTATGGTGCTGGTATGAGTTTATTGTCGATTACTTGTTTTCTTGATAATTTATGCGAATAACCGATCTTTAAATAATCGTAGGTGCTGATATCGATATACTTTGCGTTGCTCCTAGACATGTAACTCGGAATGAGTTCTTTTATTTTATGTCCAATGCCCTTAGCAATTTTGCTGAAGTAAGCGAACTAACGGTAAGTGTCCTTTATATCTACACATAAGTCTCATATATGATACTAGTACGTAACATTACTTTTATTTAGAGTGTCATCGATGCTTACGTTCCTGTTATAAAATTAAGATTTCAAGATATTCTAGTTAATTAATTACATTTAATACAAATAAAAAATTATTGTTGTGCTATTCATTGCCAAACAGCTTAATAATATTCATCTTAATAAATAGATTAATCTTGTTTTTGCAAGATTAGATCTTGCCAAAATTCCCAATGAACTCGAGATTAAAGAAAATTCTCTTTTAAAAAACTTAGATGAAATATGCGTCAGAAGTTTAAACGGTGATTAAAGTGTCGAAAATTATGTTCAAGTTATGATAGGATTAATTCACTAAAGATTTATTATTCGATACTTTTTAGGTTCTCGTGACGCAGATGAAATATTGCGTCTTGTTCCAAGTCTTCCAGCTTTCCGCACATCCCTGAGATGCATAAAATTTTGGGCAAAGAGTAATCTTTTAGAATTATTTACAGTTTATTTACAATATTATAATTAATCATTTAATTCCTAGGACGCGCTATATATTCTAACGTTATGGGATTTTTTGGTGGGATTGCATGGGCAATTTTGGTTGCACGAATCTCACAATTATATCCAAATGCTATAGCTGGCGCGATCGTTGCTCGATTTTTCAGAATTATATATCAATGGTTAGCATAAGTTTGATTCTTTTCCTCACATTATAAACACCATATTTATAATTCCAAATAAATAATAGGCAGTGGCCTAGCCCAGTGTTGTTAAAACAAATTGAGGACAGCACTCTTCAATTCAGAGTATGGAATCCAAAGGTATGGTTTTATGTGAAATGTTAAATAATTTATTGTTACGATGCAATTTGAAACCGAATGATTTTACTATACTTATAATCATATTAATTTCTAGATATATCATGATGATAAGTTTCACTTAATGCCAATAATTACGCCTGCTTACCCTTCAACGTGCGCAACACATAATGTAACACATTTCACTAAAAAAGTAATGGAAAGAGAATTTAGGCGAGGTATTTTAACTTTGCTTTATTTGATTTCGTATTTTATGTACTCATATATTTGTAAATCCAGCTACAGAAATTATGGATCACATAATGATCGGTACAGGAAAATGGTCTGACCTTTTTGCAAAGCATAATTTTTTTGAAAAATATCGATATTACCTACAAATTATAGTTTTATCCGATTCTTACGAAAAACAGTTGAAATGGTAAATATTTTTAGTAATTGATAACTATTAAGATATCCATTCTTTTTATTTAAGTTTTATATATTGTAATTATTAGGACTGGCAGGGTAGAATCTAGAATTCGTTACCTAATATCAAAGCTTGAAAATATAGAGCAGCTTGCTTTAGCTCACCCTTTTACGAAAGGGTTTAATAAAATTCATCATTGTATAAACGATCAAATGGTGAAGGATGTAATACACGGAATTTTTGATTCAACGTCAATCAATGGAATCAAGAGTAAAAACAACGCCGAATTGTCACAAAATGTACAAAATGACACTAACATAACGACTATTCGTGTTATATATACTACTATTTTTTACGTTGGTCTAGAAATTGAAAGTAAGTTTTATTTAAAATTTCTATTTTCACTTAAATTATCAACTTTTCATTACTTTATAATGTGCATGTTTATAATTCTAGCTGGCACTATGTTACCCAAACAGTTAAATATTACATGGCCAACCCAAGAATTTATAAAATTAGTCAAAGGTTGGGATAAATACGACGAAAAATCTATGGATATTAATGTAAAATACGTAAAGAGGTATAGGTCATATTTTTGTGTTCATGAATTCACCCTATATTTTATAGTCTCATACAATCATTATTCCGTAATATCTAGCGCTGAATTGCCTCCTGAGGTATTTGATGACGGTGAACGTTTTTAAAGTACAAGAATATTCACTCTTGAAAATAAATAAATGGGTAGCATTTATTTTGGAATATTGACCTAATTTAAAAAGATGTCTTGTTCATGAGGTATATGTTTATTGATTGGGCATATTTGCGATATTATAAATATTGCTAACTATAAAATTATAAATTTATTATATATTGAATATTAAAACAATGTTGATTGTTGCAGGTATAATTGAGCCTATGTTACCGTCAGTTAGGTGAAAAAGTTGTCTCTGATGGTAAGGATTGAAATTAATCAATTAACAATTGATCATTTTCATTGATGCTTTAATTAATTATTTATTCATATATTATCGTAAATGTAAAAATATATAGTATAATAGAATATAAAAAATATCGAAATTCAAATGCCCAATTCATCGTTTTTTTAACGAGTTATAATTATATAATAACAAGTTTTATTTGAATTATAATAAATGATTTTTTTGTTATAATATTTCAAGCATTAATCAATTGCACAATATTATACAATCAACTAAGAAGTTAAATTCTTATAAAAGAAAAAAAAGGGGGTGATTAATAAAACAGGGTAAAAAGCTAATGCTTTTTCGATAGTCATGCTTTAAGATATTTTATGAAGATTTCTATTAGTACATTACGCGTATGTACACGGATATCACATTGAGTGACGATTAGTATTTACGATTACTGATCATCAAACTTTAAATATTAATCATCACCCTACGCGAAATAATTGTCGAAGAAAAAAAATATTGAATGAAAAAATTTCAATATCTTATAAGCAATTATCATTTATCTCATATGCCCCCTATAATTGGACTAAACAAAACAACCAACCACCGGACTAGAGGTAAGGTTAAAGTTTGGGTAGGGCAATAGTTGAAAGACTCTTTAACCCAAAATCTCGCAAGGAATTTTTTTTTGTTAGAACAAGGTTGGAACCGGTTTTAATAATCGGGTTTATCACATAAAGTTTGTGATATTTTGGAATTTATTAGAATTTATTAAAATTTAATTGGATAGATTTCTAAAATTTCATAAAATTCATGTGATAAACCCTAATTATTAAAACCGGTAGGAGTTAGAAGCGATTTTTTAAAAAACCCATAATTGCTTTCATCCCTAACGTGACTTATTCCTAACCCTAAAGACCCGATCTTTCGATCTAATTGGATAAAAATCACGAGGGGATTCTTGTGGGAGAGCTACCAACTATCATCCAATTGGTCAATCAAAGTAAGGATGCATCGCACCTGCGATGAATGATAAAGATATTTAATAAAATTTATAATAGGATCAAATAAATTTTATAGAGTTGGAAAAGATTAAGAACTTTTATATCATTAACTTCAAAGATCATATAAAAGAAGACTTTTGATTAAGAACTTATTTAAAATTTATAACTACTGCATTTTGTAAAATTTTTTTTTAACGAATCACAGAAAACCTCACCTCTAAACTTACATTGATTAAATATTACAAAGACTATGTCGCAGTTACTCTAATACACTGGCAATCATAAATAATGCAACATGTGATAATTTTTATAATAAAACAGTAACTATTGAAATTTTCAATATAATCTAAAAATTTTTATTATTGTGTGAAAATTTCAATGGTTACTATGTTTTATTATAAAAATTATCACGTGTTGCATAATTGATTGCCATTCTTTAGGTTAAATAATGCTGAATTTCAGTACTAACTTAAATCGAAGTAGATTTTAAACATGATATTGATTTTTATTTCGTTTTTCGCAAATGTATGTATGTTAAATCAGATTAAAAATTTGGTCGAATTCATTTCCTAATTCTTTGATAATTTAATATTATCTAATATTGTATTATCTGGATCGAATTCCATTGACTTATTGAAATCTTCAAGTTCCTCTTCATGTCTATTCATCTTATAATAAGCTAATCTACGATTGTTAAATGCATCTGCATAGTTTGGATTAATTTCTAACGATTTATTAAAATTTGAAAGCAACTCGTCATACTTGCTTATTACTGAATAAGTTAATCCACGAATATTTAATATAATCGCATCATTTGAATCGAGTTCTAATAACCTGTTAAAGTCTACGCATGATTCGTTATATCTGCCCATATATAGATAAGTTAATCCACGATTTTTTAATGTAATTGAATAATTCAGGATTATCTCTAATGATTTATTAAAATCTGCAAGTGATTCTTATATCTATCCATCATTTGATGTGTTGATCCGCTGATTTGCTAAAATCTGTAAATGATTCTTCATATCTGCCAGTATCCAGATACGCTCTTATACGCTAAGTTATGCATCCGCATCATTTGGCTCTATTTCTAATGTTTTATTAAAGTATACAAGCGATTCTTCATATTACCAAATTACGCCTCGGTTGTTTAATGCGTCAGCATAATTTGGCTTAATTTATCAAAATCGGCAAGCGATTCTTTATATTTCACCATTTTTAGATACATATTGGTTCATTCCTAATAGTTTATTAAAGTTGGAAAGTGATTCTTCATATTTTGCCCATTTCTTGATACGTTAACCCACGATTACTTAATGTGACTGCATCACTTGACTCTATTTCTAAGGACTTATTAAAATCCACAAGAGATTTTTCATATCGGTCCAACTTTTTTTTAGTTAATCCACAATTATTTAATGTTACTGCATTATTTGGATTCACTTACAAAAATTTATTAAAATCTGCAAGTAGTTCTCCATACCTGCCCAATTTTTGATAAGCTACACCACAATTATTTAATACAGTTAAATTTAGCCTAATTTCTAATGACTTGTTTAAATCTGTAAGTGATTCTTCATACTTACCCGTTGTCAGATAACGTAATCCACGATTGTTTATTCTAATTGCATTATATAAATCTCTTTAGTACCTGTCCGCTTTTTTATTGGTTAAACCGCGAAATATTTTAGTATCTAATAATTTATTGCAATCTGTAAATGACTTTTCATAATTGATAATTTAAGGGTAGGGTGAATGTAGATCATTTTTCATATGACTTAGATGGTATAATGGATTTTTATATAGTAAATTAAAATGTGTTACTAATAAAACTTTTTTATTTTTTAATTAATTTTTATGAAAATTCAATAATATATAGATTTAAATAAGTTATTTATTATATTAAATTTTTATAAGATGTTTAATTTAAAAAAAATATATTTGTATATATCTTGAATTTTCCTAGGACATTCTATGTTTTTTAAGTTACACAAAAAGGTCAACTTTAATTGGTTAATTTCTGAAAAACTATAAGAGAATTTTAATAGTAAATTTTTATATCTGATCTTTAAAAATTCATATATTGATGAGTTTTGAACTAATTTTAATAATTTTATTATTAGTAGAATTACAAGAACCTACTTTACAACTTTACTTAAGAGCTTAAAAAATATTTAATTAGTAAAAACTTTCATAATTAAAATTATAAAAAAAATAAATCATCAAGTTTATATATAATTTTAAAATAGTATATCCTACCTTTAATCTATAATTGTTTAATATAATTGCATCATTTTTATAATCTTCAAAATCAGTAGTAATTTTTCATCTCTTTCAATATTTTGACATGTTATTTTGCAGTTATTAGATGTTATAGTATTATCTGAAATATATGATGCATAAAATATATGTAATTAATTTTTTATATAATCATTTTCTATTTAGTTACAAACTCTATATAATTGCAGTTTTTTATATTAAAATACTTTTATACAGTATAGTCACTATTAAATTATGATTATTATTACATTTTTTGAATGATGTTGATAATAAATCACTTATTTATAATCATATAGATAGTTGTTACATATAAAATTTACAATTTTACTAAGTAAATCAACTTTTGATATAATAAGTAAAGATGTTTGAAAGAACAAAATACATTTATCTTAAAATTTATACAAATTAAATAACTTTTTTTTTTGTTTTACATTTTTGTAAATGAATTAAATAAAAATTTAATTTTTTTTATAGAAATATAAAATAAAAAACATCTTAATAATATGTTATCTTTGTCATCTTCTAAGTGGCAGGTTTAAGGTTCAAATCCCACTTATGACAAAATTTGGAAATTATATCTATATTATAGTAACTATTTCCTGTCAATTGGTTGGCCTTATGTGACTGTTACCAGGTACACCAGGTTGGATTCTCCTGACTTTGGAAGCTCAGGCATCTATGCGAAGTGTAACATTACACATACATAGAAGAATGTTTACCAGTGTTACATGAGACTTCAGTGCAAACCTACAATAAGACCATCAGGTGTAGAAGACTAAGGAACTGAGATGATGGAAACCTACTTAGAAATTTCTGAGTATAGAGGTAGCATGAACAATCAACAATACTATCGACTAGTTGAAGCCCATGAAACACCTTTATAGAAATCGAAGATTAAAACCAGACATCAAATATATGTAGAGGAGCACATAACCAACTAGGCCGCTGGATTTGCCAAAGGAAAAGAATATATAAGTATATCATACTGGGCCATCTGAATTGGTAGTCTGAAATGAGACTAATGGTTCTGAGTTGCGACTAGTAGGAGATGATAGAGATGATGCTAGAAAGATAGGTGCTAGAGTTCTAGTAAACTTTATAAAGGTAGAAATAATATAACATAGTGGTTAAACAGGTAACCTCTGTGACTGCAAATGTTAGGTAACTATATTATATTGTATAAAACTAGGTCTATATATGTAGAACATAAAGGCTCTAGTAAGTTTCCTATTGAGGATAAAGTAGTCCTAAAGGTAACAATAAGCATTGAGAACTTGGATGGGTGTAGTCTTGAGATGTTTTCATGATACAAGAAGGATTGCATATGCAGAGAGTTTAAATAGACAAAACCTCTAGTCAGCTTGTAGGTATGGCAACTAGTATAGAACTTATATAGCAATATGTAAATGGACTACTTAAATTAGGCACTTAAAGTGCACATGTGACTAGTTGTAATCTCCAATGTAAAGGAGCCCCTGGAAGCACCTGTTT